TTGTATTTGGATGGAGGTTATATATGTATTTATGATACCACGATACGAGCTTGAGTCTCTGGATCGTTGGTTAGGGTGCGTATATGCAGTGGATGCGTAGTTGGCTATAGTAGGTTGAGGTGTACCCTGTTAGGTCTAGGTACTCATGCCCACATTTGGGTGCGTTTTCGCATTGAAACCCCTACTGTAGCTCAGTGAATGTCCCTTAGTATGGATATATATATTTTACGGATTATATAGATATGGTTGAGACATCTAGGGTGTATTTGCGTATCGGGTCTCTGTTTGGATTGTAGTTAGGATAGAACTTGTTCGTGACCTGACCCACTATTATTTTTCAGGTATCGGACAGTTGCAGGTTTTAGAGCTTGTTCGTGCTGAGCAGAGACGGTCACTCATTCATCCGATGACATAGGAGTTTCTTCGGGATTTAGCATTGGAGTTCTTTAGTTGTTGATTTCAGTGTCGGAGTTTATTAGAGGTCCACCAGATGGATTCCCGAGTTGTATTAGAAATAGAGAATTTGGATGTATCAGAATAATTCTTTATTAATAAAATTTTATTCTGAGGTTTCAGTATTTGGGTTATCATTCTAGTTTCTTTTTAGCAATTTATTTATTCCTGTTTTCTTAATTGTATTCTGTGTTCGGTTATTGCTAATTGGTTTGATATCCTCGGGTAATCGGGCGTGGGCCTGGCCAACCCGCATCTGAAAATCCAGGGGTAGCACAGGCATTCCCCAAGGCCCGCACAAAACCAAACAATACTACAATAAAGGGCCAGAACATAGAAACTAAACAATACAAAAGAAAAGGCCGGAACTATAGAAAACTGGAAATCAGCCCAAAGGTCCCTTACATGTCCATATCACTAAAAGCCCATAATGGCCCAAAATATCAAACATACCAAATAACTATAGAACTGAGGGAACCGGGTGAAAATCACCTCCAATAAAATAGTGTGTCATTTCTTCTATTTTGAAATGAGTAGTTCAGAAATAGCAACGTCACCCATGTTTGGGTTGCACAGTAGGAAAATATTGGGATGCACAGTAGAAAAATGTTGGGATGCACCTTATAAAAATGTTGGGATGTACTTTTACTTACAAAAATGGAGGAAATGAATTATTGCGCAACTGGAGGTGATCCTTGTCAGGGGGAACCATCAACAAATTTGAGTATCCATGGTTATGGTGGTATTAACTATTTATATGTGCTGAATATTTTCTTATTAAAAATATATTTTTTTGTCATTTTATAAATTTAATTGCTAATAATTAGTCTTATTTTAGAAGGAAAAAAAATAGTCCATTTTTTTAAGAAAAAAGAAATGTAATGCACTGAATTTATTTATGGAGTATTTAAAGAAGAAGGAACTCTCAAATTTATAAGCATATATGTAACTACAAAGTTGGCCGCAAAATTATAATTTTAAATCCATAAGAGTTGAATATTTAGGGGTGGGCAAAAAATCCGCGAATCTGTGAATCCGATCCATACGAATCGGATCGGATCATATTGCCGGACCCACGGATTGGTGGCGGATTCAAAAAAATTGAATCCGTAGTTCATGAATCGGATCACAGATTAGGCTGTCAAAAATTCGATCCGATTCGTGAATCCGATCTGTGGCCAATCCGTAATATATATATATATATATATATATATATATATATATATATATATATATATATATATGAGAACTCCCAACATACTGTACTTTTTTTTTGGTAAGTATTATACAATTAGTTTTATAATATTTATTATTCAATCAAATAGCAGTGGACCACCAACTTTTCTTTTAATCAAAACCTAAGCCTAGCCAAAGATGAAAAAACTTAAAGAACTAAAGAAGAGCAAAGAGAAAAGCGACCACCTCACCTATTATGCATTTAAATTGGTTTCATTTGTGTTATGTTATACACTTATACTGCTTTGTAAGTGGATATGAAATTGGTGAAAATAGACTATTTTAAAAAATCCAATCAGCGGATTGGATCCGATCTGATCCATCATTTTACGAATCCGATCCGATCCGTTGGCTAACGGATTGGTGATGGATTCAAAATATCCCAATCCATTGCTAGCGGATCGGATTATGATTGATGCCTAATCCGATCTGATGCCACCCCTATGAATATTGCAAAAACTTAATCCAAAGAAACACATATATTTTTGTTTTCCTTCAAAAATAGAAAATTTCAAAAAAATAAATCATTGCAGAATTTAACCGAAAAAAAAAAAAAAAAAACTGATGGTTCTATGCGAAACAATTAAACCACGTATTTGTCTCAAAAACCACATAAAGCCGCCTCTATGTTGGATTCAGCTTTCTGTTCTTTCTCTGTTGAGTAGAATTTGAGATATTTCAAAAATTCATTGGGCTTGAAATGTAACAGATGTTCATCATCCACTAGTTCGTATGAAACTTTTACAATGTGGCCTTCTTTTGGGATCGAGAATAGTCCCAATGAATACCTCGTATCATTTCTAGTCATCACAATTTGATGTAGCGGAGCATGCAAACGACCATTTGTCCATGCCTATATATAGAATTTAAAGTTAATCATAAGAATTGTCATGATATTATGTTCAATTTAATGGAATTCTTGACTTAAAGTTAATTTATTTATTGTGTGTCATATGATTTTTGTGTGCCACAGTAAATTCATGCCATTTGATTTTTGACATTCCTCTCTTCCATTATATATATGGAGATCTTTGTCACACTCATACACACACATGTTTATTATCTTATATATGGTTAAACATATTTCATGTAACAAAAGGCCACGTAGTTGGCCTAGCTAGCGATACAACCCCTACTCCCCCATAGGGAGTAAATATTTGTTGTGTTGGGGCACATCATAACTATTTGTGCACAACACGTGTGAGCACTTGTTGTGCATGCGCCAACATCAATAGTTGTCATGTGCGTAAGCGTGTTGTGCACACACAAACATCAACGGTTGTGATGTGCCCGGTGCACGCACACTGGCACAATGAATATTTACTTCCCCCAGGGGCGACTTTAGTCTTAGAGCATCTCCAACAGTTTGTTAAAATATCATTTTGTATAAAATATACATGGCCACATAAGATGTATAATTTTTTTTTTTTATCTCCAGCAATCTGTTAAGATACACTGTCACATCACCAATGTATAAAAGTGTTGTGTATTTTACACAACTTTTTACACAATCACATAGCATATTTCATTTCTTCTCCCTCCTTCTCATTCCATTAAAGAATGAACCCTATATTATTAACTAGGTTTGTAAAAGTTATGTGGGTCGACCTGCCATCTTCAACCGTTGTGTAAATTAACTAGTTATGTTAGAGCATCTCCAATCGTTGTGTGTGTGTGTGTGTGTATATATATATATATATTTTGTAAATCTGTTGCGTCATAATAGATTTACACAAAATTTAGATTATTTATTTTTAACTCCAGCAGTTGTTTTATACATTTTGTGTAAAAATATATTCCACAATAACAACCAACAACGTGTCATACCGGTACCCACATAATTTTTACAAATCTACTTAATATATGATTGATTCTTTAATGGAATGAGAAAGAGGGAGGAGAAATGAAATATGCTAATGTGACTGTGTAAAAAGGTTATGTAAAATACACAACAATTTTGCACATTGGTGACGTGACAGTGTATCTTAACAGGCTATACACTACAATTTTGCATATTGGTGGCGTGACAGTGTATCTTAATAGACTATTGAAGATTAAAAAAATTTACACATCATACGTGGCTGTGTATATTTTACACAAAATAATATTTTAACATATAGACTGCTAGAGATGCTCTTAGGCGAGTTAGGCGGTTGCCTAAAGCCCCAGCCAATAAAAATGCTAACTTTCTTAAAATAATTATGTTAATTATTAAACATAAAAAATAGAGGGATTTGACCGTGACCTAAAAAATTTCTATTGTTTATCACCTTTTTTTTTTTTTTTTCTGCAAGGTCCCCAAAATTTTTTCCTTATATATTATAAATTACCTAAAAATTTTATTTTCTTCTATTATTAAACCTCAATAAATAGAGAAATTTAATATTAGGACCAAAATATTTCTATATTTTATATATTACTTTTTTTTTTTTCTCTCTCTCTCTCATCTTTATTGCATGAGCGTATACACACATATATATATTACTTCTCGTTATCATTATACCAACCATAAATATTATCCATTGTACGTGGTGGGACTTGTGAAACTTAATATATTTTTGTAAGAAACCTATTATTAACTTTTATTTTATTTATTTTTTATTCCTCACATATTTTTTTCTTCTCTCATTATAATTTTTTTATTTTTTATTTTCATCTCTCCACTCCTATAATTTACAACCTCACTTCGTCACAAGATTTTGAATGAACTTTTATTCTATTAAATAATTTTTTGGAGTATTGAACCAAAATCTTCAAAATCAGTTTATATTGTTCTATAACTTCAATTAGTTTATAGTTTTATTAAATTTTGTTATTACAAAATTATTTATTTTGTTTGTAAGTTATTATCATTTTTATTTATATTGTTGAATATATCTTCTAGAAAATACATAATCAATTAGCTAACGATAGAACTAGAGATTGAAAAAATTTTACTACTATGCTTAAAAATTACAAAACAAATAATAAACATATTATTAGCATGAACATATGAGTAGACTCTATTAAAAGATCATTTTATTCTTTTTCGCCTAAGGCCCCTAATTATATTGAGCCGCCCCTAATTATATTGAGTTGCTTGATAGCCAACTAACACTTGATCAATCAAACAGCATAAAAGAAATAAATATGCCATATTAAAGTAGAAGAAAAATAGACTAAGAATAGGTGTTTCTCATCCACAGGGGATAACAATTTCCTGTTGTTCCTTGTATTGATAGAATTTTACCACTGTCAATGATGACTTTTCAACTTCACTAATATAGTAGTGAAACGACTGAAACAGTTATTGGAGAAGATTTGGGTCCATCTCAAACACCACAGAAAATCTTTACGCTGGATTGATGAATTTTATGTCCTTGCTCTGTTTTGAAGAATTTGAGATATTTCGAATATTCATAGGGCTTGAAGCGTAACGGGTGTTCTTCGTCCACTAATTTGTCCGGAACTTTTATAATATAACCTTCTGTTGGGGTTGAAAACGGCCTCGTCGTTGAGTATCTCGTTTCATTTTCGGTCAACACAACCCGATGAATCGGAGCTTGCACACGTCCATTCATCCATGCCTGCAAGTCGACAAAATTGACTCCTAAATTCTTAGAAATGTCATAATGTTGGTTAATATGAATATTGTAATTTATTCATATCATTTGATTTTTGTGTCACAATAAACACTTACATGAATGATTGTGGAACCTAAAATAACCTGAAATACTTGCACACTATACATTCTTATACATCTATTAAATTTGTTTTATTTATTTATTTTTTTAAATAATACATTTATCAACAACATTTTTTTTTTTTTTAACAATATGTAGATCTAAACGTGGTCCAATATATATTGACCAGTTGAGAGCCCTTCGGTGAATCTGTTTTTAACTTTATATATAAGATCAACTCTGAGAGTCTTGGTCGCCTTTAAGTTATGAGTATATATGTTTCATTGAGCTGATCCATCTTTGTGACTTGTTTGGTTATAGAGATAAATTCCAATAAAAAAAAGTACGTTTCATTGAGTGTTCAATTTAATTTCTAACAACAAAATACTTGAAACGAACTTAAAAATTCAGGGCTAATAGTATTTCGAGAATTGTTTTCAGAAAACACCCTTATTTGAACCTCTCTTTTTTGGAGTGTCAACTTACTTTTTTCTTTTTCTATGGAGCAAGTGAAGAAACTAACCTGTAAAGAGTCTCCGGGCATGACAATGAAAGAGTCCCGAGAGGGTTTCACATTGATCCATTTTCCATCTTTGCTTTGCACCTCTAACCCATCTACGTGATTCTGATGATGCAGCATGGTCAAGAGGTTCTTGTCAGTGTGAGGTATCAGCATAATCTTGCTCTCCATATTTTCAGGCGCTTCATACTTCATAACCCGAAGACCGTATCGGGACGAATCTATGTGTTCATCGCAGTATTTCTCAACACCAAAGCTCTCCAAAACCATCCTCCTAATCATTTGATCCAATTCAGACAGTTGCTTTGAGAAGGACCCTACTGTTTTGCTGCCAAATGAAGAGTATGCATGTGATCATAAGTAATCTTCTAAAAAAACAGTTTAAACTTTAAAAATATAAAAGTGGTTTTTATTTTAGGGATTATTACATATAAGTGTTGTTAATGATTCATATTTACCATTTGATGGAGTCAAAGTCTCATAATTTTGAAAAAATAAAGACATGAAAAAAGGTACCACATTTAGGCACATAGGTACCACTTTTTGTGCTGCACAAAAAGGTGGTACCCGATACACAAAAAATGGTATTTGATGTACAAAAAGTAGTATCTGCATGTACAAAAAGTGATACATATGTGTCTAAAAGTGGCACCTCTGTGAGAATGAACAGTATTTTTTCATGTCTATGTCAACATTTTGGTCAACTCTATTTTTTCTAAACTATGAGACTTAGACTCCATCAAATAGTAAATATGGATCATTAGCACCATTTATATGTAAAAATTTCTTAATTTTTACTAGGTTTTCAAAGAAAAATTGTCAAAAAAAAAAAACAAAAAAAACAAAATTTCAAGATCCCTTGGAACACACAATAACTGACAACAACAATGACGGCCATGACGACAACAACAAAAACTAATTAAATTTACGTACTCAAAGCTAGGTTTCCTTCCGGCCACAAGAGATTAGTGAAGCTTCTAAGATTTTCGGGGATGAGTACATCTTCGATACCTATGGTCTCCCAGGATGCTCTTGATGACTTGCCAGTGTAGCCAGTACCGAATGGCGGATTAGCAGAGGTTGTTCTTGATTTTGTTTCCAAAGGAAATTCAAACATATCTTCTATTGCACCAAACATGGATTTTTGAAGCTCGGAAGGGACTTTGTCGAACAAAGCCTCGAAGCCACCATATTCTTGGAGTGCTTGCTGAACCCGGGCTCTCACCGAGTCCCACTCAGGAGTGCCCGGCTTTAGCTCATCTGAAAAATCTATGACAGGAAGAAGAACTTCGGACCCCATTGTTTTCTTCTTTCTTTGGCTGAAGCAGCTAATTTTCCAACCACGCAAATGTTGACAAGTATTAAGATGTGGTATAGCTTATTTATATAGGGTTTTAATTTATGTTCATGTTGCATGGGGACAAATGATGCATATGTTGCACTGACAAGGATGTTATAACATATTCGGCATACAGTATTGCAAAACTATATTTTTACCGTATGTTAATTTTGTTTGCGCATTGTAATTACAAAACATCATGTCTATCTCCAATACACACACACAAAAAAAAAACAAAGCATCATGTTTCGGACCAAACGAGGGGAGACAACTTAAAAAAACATTGCATTGGCGTCAAATATATATATATATATATATATATTGATGTACGCTTTAGGGATACCTGAATCATAGAGAATCTTGAAACCATTTGGATTCCAGAAGATCCCATCCGTAGAAAATTATTCAATAATCAAAACTCACAGGCTTTAACTAGTGGCTTTTTATTTATTTATTTATTTATTTATTTATTTATTGTCAAATTCTTCGCTTAAGGCCTTAAAGTAGTTCTACAGGGAGATTGTCAAATATTTTAGAATTTTTGTAATTTGAGGTCTAAAGGACCTCATATTATTTTGAATTTTGATACTTAATAGTTTTTAGTGATTAGATTTCATATTATAATTTTTAGAGATGCATGAATTTTGAGCTTATTTTTAGCTTTCCTTATTTTATTAGTTTTTTTAATTTTAATTTTTGGGTACTAAGGTAAGTCCGGATGTGTTTAAATACTTCAAATATGAAGGGGGAAAAAAAAAAAAAATGTATAAGCTGTCCAAAGGAGCCGATTTTTAAAATAAAAGAGTGTTTTTTGAAAACAGATTTTTTTGTAACTTAATTTTCATAAAACAGTTTTCAAAAAATTGAACTGAGCAGGGTTTTTTTTATACAATTTTCAATTTTTGAATAACAAAAAATTGTTTTCATATTTACGAAACAGGTCATTAATTTCTCTATGCCACTAGACAAGGGGATTCTTTGGTGGGGTCCAATGGATCGAGAAGCTTCAAATGTAGTTGTAGCTTTCCATTAAAACTTGATACCTATGCTATATATATATATATATATATATATATATATATATATATAAATATATATTTGTACTTTCTAAATTGCTGTCACACTTATAAATTATACCATGGACGGTGTCACAGGGATAAATTCTGAACACGAATCTAGTGTCCTGTGATGGCACTAAGTCAGAAATATGAATAACTTTTCTCTGAATTTCTAACTTAGCTCAGCTAACTCATACTTGCTGCCTAAAACACACAGCAAGTAAAACACTCTCACACACAAGTATAGTTGCAAGAATGTAAAGACAATAACACCCACGATTTTACAGAAGTACAAGGCTTCTAACTTTTTACTATTATTCATAAAACAGTACAAGGAAAGGCCTCAACTTGCAGAAGCATACAAGAGTCTCTCACAACACAACTCTGTGTCTCACTCTCAATCTGCCCTCTCTACAGAACCCATATTAGCAATATATAGGCAAACTCTCAAAACCGCTCACAACTGCCCACTAAAGTGGTGGATGAAACCCCCATCCACCTAGGGTCATGTTGACACCCACTAAGTGTGCCAACACTACATATGTAGTTGAGAAGCCCAACTACTAGCTTGTTGGCATGCTCTGCTCATGCCATGTGTCCACAGGAAGTTGCACTCAGCATAGTGGAAGAAACCACCTCCAACTACCTGTGTGTTGTCCTCTCAAATCTATGCCACATGGATGGGAAGTTATTCAGCACACCCCCACTCCCCACATGAGTGTGAAGTGCTAGTAACTTCCCCCAACCAACTGAGCCCACTTAGTGGAAAGTGTAACTTCCCCCAACCAATTAAGCCCACTTAGTGGGAAGTGTTAGTAACTTTCTCCCAACCAACTAAGCCCACTTAATGGGAAGTGTAACTTCCCCCAACCAACTAAGCCCATTTAGTGGGAAGTGTAACTTCCCCCAATCACCTGAGCTCACTTAACCATCTTCTGTAACCATAAGTCATGTCTGAGTCCCTGAGCCAACCTTGCACGCTGAGCCTTGCCTACCCCCACTGCCTTGTGCCCATGTCCCTGACTTGACTATGCCACACGTCCATGACTTGTGTGGTCCATGCTTTAAGCAACATCTAAGCTAACCTTGTGAACTTAGCCCGTGCCAAGCCCACTAATCTGCACTCACACATAAATGTCTCAAAGTGCACGACATCCAAATCGAGTGCCGTCTGCGTCAACCATCTTTTATGGACTCAAAGTACTTCCCATAAAGATCCCGAGCCAAAACTCCAAGCTTCACTTTTTCGCCATATTTATGAAAATGCCACTGGGCACCCCTAGTGCACGCTGACAGCATCCCATGGCTGTCAGGGGGCTTGTCAAGGTCCAAATCCCGTAACAGACGGCCATTATTACCAAGTTAATAAATATATTAAAATATTCTTTATCTTGTTTAATTTTTTTAAAAATAATTTAGTTATTTTCCAAGGTAAGAAATTAGAGTTTTGAAATTGAAATTAGAGACTAAACTTTTTTCTAATTCTATTAATTTCATTTCTAAAATTTCAATTTTATACAGCCGAAATATATTTTCTGAAAATTGTGAATCTAAAAATTATTTTCTATCTTTTGAGTTTTTTTTATAACTATTTCAAGATAACTGAAATAAACAAAAGTGCTAAATCTTTAGGAAGTTTCTTTGTTAGGACGTAGTGCACAAAGGTTGATTCCGCGGTTTGTTATAAAATAATCCTAGCTCTTTAAAATTCTTATGAGAAATTCCTTTCCAAAAGAGCTAAAAGAAAAAAGAAAAATAGTAAAATTAAACACGCAAGTCTTTTTCTTTTCTTTTTTTCCTTTTCTTTTTTAGGTAACTAAATATTTTAATGAAAAATAAACACGTATGTCGGTGATGAATGTTTAAGATATCATATAGTTCTGAAAAACGCTAGCTAATTGAGGCACAACTTGAGTACGGGAGGTTATACTTGAACTTTGAAAAACAAAAAGAAGAAGGGGGTTTTAAGACAATTAAGAAGTATGTAATGCAATGCAGAGGCTTTACAGAGTGCGAATATTGACTCCAAAAAATTGTTTTTCAATCTAGGATTTTATTTATGTAGTGTTGTCAAAGTGAATTTCCTTAGTTTTACGTTTAGTTTGTTATTAATTTAGGTATAATTAAGAGGAGTTTATTTTTATATATATATATTTTCCTAGAGGAGTTTATTGCACTTTATTATTTTATTTAACAAAAAAGTTAACGTTTTATTGGTATTTGTTCAAATCTTTGTATCACCACCCGGTACCTTTCTTTCAATGGTTCATAAAATAAAATTTACATGTGGAAGGGAACGAATTTTCCATATTTTTCTCGTAACCCAATCAGATTTTCTTCATATCCCTCCTAGAGTTTTCTCCTTGTTATACGCTGAAGTGTCAAAAATGGAGGGAACAAAAAGTGAGAAAGAGGTGACGGCCGACTAAGGTAATTTAAGCAATGGGGTACTTTTGAAATTTTATAAAACAAAACCAATTGACGTTATTGTTGTTTGGTGAACTATTTGTTTACAAATACAGAAGCCTAAAAGTGGAATCACTCTCTAATTTTTTTTTTTTTAAAGTAACCAAAATCAAAACCTTTACAAAAAAAAATAAAAGTAAAAACCCCATATTCAATTATTCATATTGGATATGTGAGAAAGTGCGCTTGTGACATCAACAACAAATATTATTAATTTGGATCAATTATTACAAAAGGAATCTACATTTATAATTGTGAGACAGTTAAACTTCATCTATTGAATGAGACAGATTTTATGTGTGTTAAACGAGACTTATTGCTTGTTAAGGATTGAGCTGGTATGGGCCCGGAGTAGTTACCCTAGACAATGCTGGCCCATCATTATTATTTATTTATTTACTATTATTATCATTTTTACATTTTTTTCTTTTATTTTCTCTAAACCCTTGACCAGGTTGGCAGTTTAGACCCAAACCTTTTAGGATAAAGGTAGACTAGATTGTCCTAGGGCTTCTACCGGATTGTCTGCTTATCCTCCATTAACGACTTTGAAGGTCGTTAATTGCAGTTATTAGTTTGTGTTTGGGTTCTGAGCTGTCCCTTCTTTTGGGCTGAATTTGGGCTTATTTTTTTGTCTCTATATGGGCTGTTTCTTGGCCAAAGGCCCACATTGTACTCATACTTTTCATTTATATCAATTGATTAAATTTCCAGGGAAAAAAAAAAAAAGGCAGACCAGATTTGTTTTTTTCTGTTCTTCTTTTTCTTTTTCATTTTATGCATGTTGTTTATAAAATTTTACAAAATTTCTACCCTGTTTTTTTCCGCAGTTCTCTCTTTTTTGTCTTACTCTTCTTCAATCAAACTGTAATTTTTTTTTTTTTTTTTTTTTTCGCTTAAAGTTCTCTAATATAAATTTTTTCTTTTTAGCTACTACTTTTATCATGTGTGACATATTATGTCCGGGAAACAAATTCCTGGCTCGATACATGATGTTGTGGGCCTTGTGGCTATTGTTCCCAACATGCACTCGCTCATTATTATGTATTCTAATTTCATTGAAACAAGTAAAACGATAATGGAAACATAGTAAAGGAAGGAAAAGTGTACAATCAAGTAGGCTTGTAAAGTGGGCTTATCAATAGTAAACCCAAAAAACGAGTCCATGACAACTAAGCAAGAAGCCGACATGATTACAACAAACATAACAAATCCTTAGGCCCGGCCCAATCATATTCCAAGTTATACCCACCCAAACTAAACGCTGACGTCTGAATAGACAAAGGATTGCGCATTGTTTCGAACAGACCCACCCTCCTATGATACGACTGCAATCTCTGAATTTTTCTGTTGTGTTGGGTTTTCTTATTCCAAAAACACTCACAAATCAAACAACAAAAAAGAAACAAAACACTCCCTTTATTCGCGTGGATTAAAGTCGAATAGTTTAGCCCACTCATTCAACCGAATCCACCAAAGCGTTTGATGACCCGAAGTGAGAACCATGTTTGAATCCACCTGAGGCTATGAATGGCCTTGATGTTTTCTGTTTTATGAGTGAGCGAGCTTCTTTGGCTAGAATATAGTGCCCTATTTATATTCATAAACTAGAAGAAAAATATATTAAAAGTAGTTTTTTTGTTTTCTCAAATACCACAGAAAACTTTAACACCGGATTCATGAGCTTTCTTTCCTTTCTCTGTTTTGAAGAATTTGAGATATTCCAAATATTTATAGGGCTTGAAGAGTAATGGGTGTTCTTCATCCACTAGCTCGTCTGGAGCTTTTACAATGCTGCCTTCTTTTGGACTCGCAAACAATCCCACTAAATATCTCGTTTCATTTCCAGTCATCATAATCCGATGAAGTGGAGCGTGCACACGTCCATTTGTCCACGCCTACAAATTGATAAAATTTAAAATTCTAAGAAATGTCATTATCATTTTTTTTTTTTTTCATTAAATATATATGTCATGATCATCATGCTCCATGAATATTGTAATATATATATTCATAATATGTCGTTTGATTTTAGTGTCACAATAAACACCTACAAGCTAGAATGATTGTGGCACATAAAAGAGCATGGAATACTTGCACACTATACATCTTTGTACATCTATTAAATTTGCTTGAATTTCTTAAAAGGAAGACATTTATCAACAACCATTATTCAATTTTGTTTTTCTTTTTGATACAATGTATGGATCTAGACTTGGTCAATTAACCAGTTGAACCCAAGACCAAAATGAGTTCGGTGAATTTATTTTTACACAAGATTAACTTTGAAACTTGACGAAGACTAGTTCCCAAGACTTCTAAAGTTACATGGGCATGTTTATCTGAATTGTAGTTTTTGAACGACAAAAAAACTTTTAAAATTTCGTTTTGCTATAGTATTTCGAGATTTGTTTTCAAAAAGCACCCTTATTTGAAATTTTATTTTATTTTTTTAATTTTATTTTATTATTATTATTTTTTTGGTGGTACATCTTCCAGTATTTAAAAAAAATATATTCAGAGAGAGCAAGTGAAGAAACTAACGTGAAAAGAATCTCCGGCCATGACGATGAAAGAGTCCGGCGAGGACTTCACGTTGATCCACTTCCCGTCTTTGCTTTGCACCTCTAACCCATCTACCTGATTAAGCTGATACAATATGGTAAAAAGGTTCTTGTCAGTGTGGGAAAACAGCGTAAGCTTACTCTCCATAGTTTTGGGACCTTCATACTTCAATGGTAGAAGAGTGTATCTGGTGGTATCAATGTGTTCACCACAGTATTTCTCAACACCTAAGCTCTCCAAAACCATCCTCCTTATCATTTTATCCATTTCAGATAGCTGCTCTGCGAAGGACCGTACTGTTTTGCTGCCAAAGTAGGAGTATATGGTCAAAATTAATTAATGTTCTGTTCGTTTTTTGTTCAGTTTTCTAAAAAGAGTTATTAAAAAGCATCTCGGTATTTCTATGAAAAAAAATGTCAAAAAAATTTATTTTCCAATCTTTGACAGCATAAAAGAACTAACAACAACAAAAAAAAAAAACTACGGAGTAATAAAATTTACGTACCCAAAGCTAGGGTTTCCTTCTGGCCACAAGAGATTAGTGAAGCTTCTGAGCTTTTCGGGGATGAGTACATCTTCTATACCCATGCCCTCCCAAGGCTCTGCTGGTGACTCCCCAGTCATGTAGCTACTGTAGGGCGTCTCAACAGAGATTCCTGATTTTGTTTGCAAAGGAAGTTCAAATATCTCTTTTGTCGCACCAAACATCGATTTTCGAAGCTCAAAAGGAACTTTGTTGAACAAAGCCTCGAAACAACCATATTCTTGGAGTGCTTGCTGAACCCGGGGTCTCACGGAGTCCCACTCAGGAGTGCCCGGCTTTAGCTTATCTGAGAAATCTATGACAGGAAGGAGAGCTTCAGAGCCCATTGGTTTCTCTTTCTTTGGCAATTAGGAGCTGAAGCAGCTAATTTTCTTAATATGCAATTGTTGATGAGCTTTGAGATATTCTATTGCAAATTTATATAGAATTTCTATCTATGCATGCTTCATGTTGTAAGGGGACAATTGATATCTATAATGACCAGGATAAGGATGCTTTAACATATTTGCATGCAATTCCCAGGATCCCATTTTGGATTTGTTAATTAGGAATATTAAATTAGATACCAGTTTGAATTTTTTTTTTTTTTTTTTTTTTAAGCAAAGATGCAAACACATGCATCCTTTTCCCTATGTTTAGGCTTAAACCCCTCCCCTCCTATTTGAGGATGGAAAAGTAGTACAGATCGGTCAAAAATCCTTTAGTCAGATACCAATACTTAGGTAGACACGTAACAATCATAATAATACCAATGGTAGAGAATTAAATTCTCATTCGCTAGGATGCATATATGGAGACACAATCATACATCTATAACTATAAAGCAATATAATATTTTATAATATTTTACAAGGGTTACCCAATCTCTAAGAGAGAAGAAATACCATTATTACGAATCAAGAAGAGAATACAATTATAGAGAGAGCTCACTCAATCACCCTACTATTGGTGTTCTACCACTCAGTACTCTCAGCCACCAATTTCAGTGAAGCTAGGCTACATCTCTCTGCACTGGTACTAAATCTCTCTTCTCCTTTCACACTCAAATCTTTTTTCCTTCTCCACATTCTCCGGTCTACTCCACCTTTGTTTATAGTCTTCAATACCTAATTCCTTATTGAACACGGTTTGTCTTAAAAAAACAAAGTTCTTAATTTTAAAGAAATAACTTGTCCTACAAATTTACAAAAACTTACTTTCTCATAAACAAATAATTCTTGCATGAACAAGTAAGAAGTCGCACTTGTTGCAATCAGGGGCGGAGCCAGAATTTCAATTTAGAGGGAATAGTGCAAATAAATAATAAGGAGAAGAAGAAGACTTTTTAAGTCGTAGAAGAAGAAGAAGACTTTTAGGTACGTAGTAGATGAAGAAGAAGAAGAAAAGAAAAATGGCTTAACTTTAGAAAGAAAAAGAAATTAAAAAGAATTTTAGAAAATAATTTTTTTTTATAGGAGACATTATAAACAAATTTCTATATATGTATATGTAAAAAAAATTAAAAATATAACTATAATAATATAATGAGCGAGGCCAAGTCAGAGGGCCACATGATCTGGGCATGAACCGGCTCCGTCCTGGTTGTAATTCTCAAATGGTGTGCTCTGTAATGGTAGGACTAGCTGTAAACTTCATCACTTGCAATTTTAAAATTTGAGACACAACCAATAATTGTACTTCTTTGGCACTTTACAATTTAAAAAAAATTGAGACTCCACCCCCAATAGGGTTTAGGGCTCTCTGTTCCCCACTTGGTGGTGACAGAGGCCTTTTTGTTGACTCCTCTTTTGTTTCTTAGCTTATTGCCTTTTGTCTCTTTTACTTTGCAAAAAAACAAGTATCTTGGTGAAATGTTGTGTTTGATCCCTTCAACATGCACTAGTTGATGTATGATTTGATGGCATATTATACATATATAATTGGCAGTCGCCATTGCATGATTTAGTTCTTACCCAAATATTCACCTACCACCAGACCCACATTAATTGGACGGGGGGTTATTTTGCTTGAATAAAATATTTTATTTAGAAAAGTATTTTTCATTTAAACTATTTTACGCGAAAAGAAGAGTGTTAGTTCAAAAAAAAAAAAAAAACTATTACTTTTCTATATACATTTTGACATTCATCCTTTTCAAAAAAAAAAGTTATTTTAGACATAAGTCACATTATGAACCTAATTTGACAATTGTTCATTAACTTTCATTAAGCCTCTATTTGGTTAGATGGAAATAAGTAAGAAAAGAAATGAAATGAAAAATGAAAGAAAAGTGAAGTGAATGGAAAAAAAAAAAAAAATTTAACATGTATTTGGTTAAAATGAAATTTTATTCAAGAAAATTGTAGAAAAATATTAATTTGTTATTTTGGATAGCATGAAAGTGAAAAAAAAAAATCGATCAAAGATACCAAATTCACCCTTATGATTTTAAATACTAATAAATAAATGAATTTGTATTTGTTGATGTATATTTTTAGCAAGGAAATAGTAAAATAATGGATTATTAAATTTAATAAGATAATTATTTATAATTTATTTATATTTAAAATAAGACTTCATAATATTTTCTGAGGCAGAAGTAGAACTAATTATTAGTGTATGAGAAACGAATTTTTTTTTAAAAAAAAGGAAATGTATTGATGGCAATACTAATTTTTTTTTAGGGAGATTTGATTGTATTTTGTTGTTGCAAGTTATATATAAACTTGTGGAAAAACAAAGAAAGGTGAATGTAGGTGCAAAATTCCGCTCAACCAATAACGATTGAGAAAAACAATACAACACACTCAAGAACAGTAAAAATAAATAAGAACAGTGTATAGAGAAGCATAGAATTGCTTGGATGCCTTTATTAGAGGTCTAGGCCTCTATTTATACACAAAAGTTGGTAGAATTATGGTAGGACTCGCGTTGCTTGTCCTCCAATTTTTCCCATACATGACTTTCTTTACAAATAGAGTTCTTTCTATTGTATAATATTTCCTACGTACAACTTTCCTTGTATAGAACTTCCTATCAAAGAATTCTCCTTTTATGATAAATCCTTCTACCGATAGGATTTGTTCAATTTTGGAAAACTGGGCTGAATATACCTTGAACCAGTTGGGCTTAAATAATGGGCCGTGTAACACCCCCAACATTTTCCACGCATAAGTTGATCAGGCTTATACACGAAAAACGAGGGATATCAAAAACAATTGGCAATGTACAAGCATGGAATACAAAATGATGATAATAAAAGAATTTAGACAGGAAAGGAACACTAAATAATACAACATCCATCCATCCTTTATTTAATACAGTACTTCATTACAACTTGTAAATCCTATGTCAAGGATCCCTAAATATAACCCTGAGAGTTCAACGTCAAAAGTACATAAAAACTGAAACTGAAGTAATACATAAAACTTCTATCCTGAACTGGATCGTAAGAGTAGATGAGTTCGGATGGTGGTCCCACACTGCTAATCTCAATCTTGGAACGGGTACTGACCGTATCCTGAAATAACAACAATGGTGGGTCAACCCCACGAGCAAGTCCTCTCTACTATGACCCAAATCAGAGAATCAAATAAATTAATCATTAAGAATCGGTTGAGTACTATATCTGTATATATCCTAAGGGAACTATCCAATGTATAACATGACCTCAACCAGAATAGATGGTGATCACTTAGACTCACACTAGGTGGTTAAGTGTCGCCTTTCCCTACCCGGGAAATCAGCTATTATACATGATGCACGGTACTGGCAACACAGACTATAACGAACTACACAATGATAACACCTCTCAAAGTACTGATGAATATACTGAGCATATAAATTAGGCAACACATGCCAATAATATTACTAAACATACTGAGCATGTCAATTAGGCAACACATGCCAATAATATTAAACCACATACCCCGACAGCCACACATCTGTCTATAGCAACAAATGCATAAGGTATAAATGAGTCTAAACTTATTAGCCAACTCACATGGTTCTATATGGCAACACATCCATATAATATAAATGCGACATAATTTAAACAGTCCATTTATTCTCTGAAATGCACACAGCATAATAATCATGGTTTATATACGATTAACAGTATAGCTATTCCATAATATATAATGGATCATTTATATGAATGAAACCAAGCACTAATTAACTTAACATTAATGGTTTATTACAGTTTAAATAAATAATAATACCATTTATAGTCGTTTAACTTAATTACATACGTTTACTAGCGATTCGCCCTTTAATTGATACAATTAATATTTAGAAATATTAATCAGACCATTATAATAGTTAACGAGAAATAAAATAATAATATAATGTCTCGTTAATTCCAAAAATGCCAACCCGAGGCCCCAAAATGTATAGTGAAGGTCCTGGTAATGACAAAACAGTCCCTAGGGGTATTCTGGACTTTTCCAGCAGCTGCAGAGGCCCTTCACGCGCCCCCACGCGGCTCCCAGAGCTCCCCACACGCGCCGCCAAGCTTTCCCACTCTCCCACGCGCTCACACGCGCTTGCACGCGCGTTTGGAGAGTTCCACGCTCGCGCACGCGCTCCCACGCGCGTCTGGAATCAGTCACGCGCGCGCACGCGCTGCCACGCGCGCACTAATGGTTCTTTGCTGACGCGGCGACCTCCGGTTGGTTGGCTGTATCATCTTTCCTACATGCGCGCCACACAGGATCAATCCACCTACCTTCCCTCCATCCAACGCTCACGGATCCGGGTGTACCGCGGTAACATGGACCGCGGTGCACCGGATCAATCGCTGCTGTTTAATGGTCCAGATGCGCGCGCATACCCTCCTATGGTGCGCCGCATCACACCGGATCACTCCGGTCATCTCCCCCATTGCCGGCGACCGGAAAACTCGCCGGAAGGTCGCCGAAAATTGCAGAAAAGCCCCGGAAAAATCTAGAAAATTCTAGAAAAATCCCTAAAGCTTTATTTAATTATTTTCAGCCATTATTAATTTCATAGGATATTGAATAAATATATACCATCCTATATAATTAAAATTTCATTAATTTAATAAGATAAAATTTATAATTTATTAATCTACTAACCTTGGCTCTATGCATACAAATAAACTAAACAATTAATTTATTAATTCAAAGGGAAAAAGTAGATAATAACTTGCCTTTTTGGATTTAAAATGAATCCGCCGGTTGTGCGTAGTCGGGTAAAATCGCCTACACCGGTCCAAACTTCTTTCTCTCTCTCTTTTCTTTTCACTCTTATAAAATAGCTCTCTGAAATTTTTAAGCTTTCTAACTTAAGTGAGTTGCCTTAAGGGTAAAATGGCTAACTAATATAT